TTTATGGAATGGTACAAGAGCAGTTGAGTTGAAACTATGGTCTGCACTTTGTACTCCGAAGGCAAAACTTGGTGACAATTTCTGAAGACTGCTTCACAACTAATAAGGGAAGTTTCCAGCACGTATAGACTCAGGCACAAACTGGGAAATGCAAGTACTCTAAATGGTCTGTAATAACCTGAAGTCACACATTCTAGTAAAATATATTCCCTCTTTTCCTTAATATCCTTGAAATGGATTATTATTGCAATCTTGTCTGGTTAAACAGGTCAAGCAACTTTACTCAGTATCTCCTGCAGCAAGTCCATACCTTGTTGCGGAACCAGATCAATGTCAGAAGAGAAATACTAATTTCAAGCTATGCAATGACAAAACGGTCTTCCAGATACACGGTTCATTTCCCTTTACAGCTCTCAAACTTTTCCTAAACTAATAAGCCCTCCAGATAGAAAAATAATTAATGCCAGTCAACATGGTGCTATAATAAACAGGTCCTAGAATCTCATCAAGAAAAAAAAAATCAGGTATGAAAGGCTCTATGGGCAGACATAATCTTCTTAGATTTGTGTATGACATTTGACTTGCCATCAGAGCATATTAAAAACAGCTCCACTGAATAACTATGAGGCACAGACATAGGAAAAACTGGCAGACAAATATCAAGGTCAAGCTGTCAATAGGAAATCATTAGTTTGGATGGTTTTAATGGGGAGAGCATGCACAGGCCTGATGCTATCCATTTTTAAAAGCATATATCAAAAATTGTATCAAATACCTTAGTCGCTTCATCTACTGGAACAATACAGATAAAAAAAATTGACACTCTGCAATGCACATGTAAGTACAAGTTGGGCAGGCCACATATACCTAATGAGAGTTTATGAACTGAATAACTGTACTTCAGTAAAACCTTGTAGTAAAACTACTGCACGTGAGCTGCTTGTGCCGTGCAATCTATGAAACACATGGGGAGGCAAGCATGATCATTGCGTATTTCAAAAATGAAATAAAACAGGCAAAATGTCAGGCAGAAGGCAGGCTTTGGAGACACAGGCATTATATGCTTTAGCTTTTTCATGTACCTACATTAAAATGCTGTAATGCTGAAATGAAAACCAAAGAGAGAATTTGTAGTTTGAGGCTCCCGGCCTTCAAATAACGGGAAAACATACAGTTTCTCTTTAAGCCAACAAAAAACACACTGTTAATTTTTTTTTTCCTGGGCCAGTGATAGGAGCTCTCAAATGGGAGTGGTGGAAAGTTGGCACCATCCCTTCTGATGTCAGCATGTTCTTACGCTTAGGAAAAAAGTTCTTTCTTCAGATGCTCATTTTACCAAAACAAACAGACAAGAAAAAAAACATAAAACCCCCCAAAAAACAAAAACACACACATCTCTAGAGGAGCCTAGAAAAATAGTATATTCTTGGGCAGAATTTACCAAACATGAATTCTTTCCCCTAGAGGAGAAAGACATGGCTAGAACCACAAGGTGGATCTTAAGGCAAATAAAAGCTCAAATAAGGCAGTGCATTAATCAACAGTGGAGCTGCAGGTGGGCTCAGCTGGGCTGGCAAGGGGCACTCTAACAGTGCTCGAGCTGCCAGTGCAAAGCCCGGCCCTTCTTCTGCCCTCTTCTCTTGACAAAAGCATTTTCAAACCTGGTTGCTTTCAGCACAGTCAGCTCGGGGGCCCGGCTCACCACGTGCGGCTGCGTAAATACTTGTGCTGCCCAGCACGGGGTGGAGGCAGGAGCAGAAAGAAGCCTGTCTAGCACAACCACCGCAGTGAAACACCAAGAAGTTCTGCAGCTCTATTCATATACTGGATGAAAAACTGCTAGATATTATTTTAATATTACTGATAATCCTGAAGAAAGAGAAGTGAGGTGCAACAGCAATGCTTCATATCTCTCTGATTTTAGTAGAAACAAGTTGCTGCATGAAGGCAGTTACAAAAACAAAAAGGTCCGATAAGAATGTACAAATAAGGAGATATATATATATAGAGAGAGAGAGACAGGAAAAAAAAAAAAGACTTACTATTTCTTACGATGCAGTTTAAATCCTGTGGGGGGAAAAGAAACAAGTAGGTTACACACAAAATAGAAAGTAGCTTGACATTAATTTGCTTCTATTTGGTGGCAGAAGGCTTCTGTTCTTCTATCTGACAGATACCAAACAGTTCAGTGGGCACAGACAGGCTGAAAGACTTGATCATCAGAAAACACATGAAGTTTAAGTAGAAAAGCAAAGGACACCAGCATGAAACCTCTGCACACCCGAGGCGCGCACTTAAGTGACAGCACTAGCTGCCGTAATAGAATGAAATTGAAAATCGGGAAAAACACAAGATAACAACAGTAAAAACCTTTCAAAAGATCCCACTGTTACAACCAAACCAAAAGTGACGTGAAATACCCTGCTTGAAGTGGATGAATGTGATTTTAAACGTCACTGCTTTAAGTCCCTGCCATCCAGCAGTGATGACAGCAGCAGCACTTGGGAGGCCTAAGGCCACTCGACTGGAAGCACGAGCTGCCTGCCGCCCCATCTCCTGCAAAGGGCTGCGTTCAGTGGTGTGCAGAACATCACCTCCTTCAGCTCATGCTTCGGATCCAAAAACACTGCGCAGAGATGCTCACAAACCGTAAATTGGACAAGCGACGCGGAACACACAGCAACAAATGCTCCTTTCCTCAGCAGAAAAGCTGAGGCACTTGTGGCTGGTCTTTTTCCTGCTGTCATGTAAGAACTGGGTACAAGAAAAAGGACAACCCCCTTAGCAGACGCCAGGCCTAGATGGAAGATGTGGTGTTTATATTTTCAAGAGCTACAGACACTTTCCTATCGAAGACAAGGCTGTCCTGAACTTGAAAAAGCAAGTTGAAGTTATATAGCTGGGCCTGGTTTTCCCCACTTGCACCTTGTTTATTCTGGAAGACCCCTTGGTCACAAGAGAAAAGCGCCACAAACTTGCTTGGCGTGACGCAAAACCCGGTCATGATAAAGTGCGAAGCTCTCACTGACTTCAAGATAAATCTTGGAGATAAATCAAGATAAAGACTAGCTTCCCTCCCACTCTCTTCTCATGCCTTGACCCTCGAAGGTGTCAGGCTGTCGCCGCAGCATAACTCATTCCTGCAGACACAAGGCCATGCTGTACTCGGTACAGCCAGCTCAGCACATATGTGGGGTTTGGGGTGAAGTAGAGGAGATCTGTGGCCGCATTTACTGAGGTTTTCCACAGGGACGGCACATAACGAAACCAGCTTTCTGTGCCTTTTCCAAAGTGAACTCACACTCCAGCCCACCAAGGCAGGCTGGCATTTCACGGCCACTAAGCTGCCCTTAGACAGCACCAGTGCCAGAGACACAGGCCCACACTTCCCTTTGCTTACACCCCAGCTTCGCACCTCCTGTGCTGGCACAAGCATTTAGGTGGCTACATGGGCATCTGGATCCAGGCTGAAACCCCATCCAAGAGAGGGCAGGGGAACTCAGCAGTGCAGAAGACTTTCCCCATGCTGGTTTGCCACAGAGCTGGTTGTGCAAGGGAGGCCATGAAAAGGCAGAGCAGGACACCCCACCTGAGGAGGCAGAGGGACACTTCCTTCATGGCAGCGCTGCCCACTGCCCGCTTAAAACACACGTAGGACTGCATCGTAGCTTGAGACAAGCCCTAACCAAGGCAAAACATCAACCAATTAATAAACTTGGCCATAGCTGAAGGAAATGCAGAAGGTAGGTGATGGGTGAATTCAGGTATTGCACAGACTACAACTGCTTATTTTAAATGTGTTAAAACACGATTGGTCACACTTCAACTAACGTATCTGCGTTCTCATTAACCTTCAGCTGAAGCAGGCAGATTTGGCATTTAGCTCCTCACGCTTTTAAGGAAAAAAATGAACACGAAAAAATAGGAATCCCTTCCAGGCCTTTGTTACAAAAGTCAGTGTGATAACAAGTAATCAATGCAGGCTTCAGGCGTGCTTTGCAGGTAAGCACATCCGCATAAGGAGAAGCAGTAATACAGAAATGGTTATGCTAAAAAGATTCAATGCAGCACTTAGAATTGATCAATTTTATACAATTCATTATAATCCAGGAAACATTGTTTCATTTCAGTGAATTCGAAGGAAGGAATCTGCCTAATCACCCTGACCTTTGAACACGTACACATCTACACAACATTTTTCCCGAAAACTAAAGCTTGATAAAGAACTTTTTTCCTTTTGGCTACGAAACGTCAGGCCTCTTCATTTTTACAATTAAAAACTTAAACAAAAGCTTCTTTAGAGTGCTAAGATAGGGTTCAGGTAGCATGCCACAGCTGGCACATATTCCAGCTACTGCAGTTACTTTTCATTGTTAAAGCTTCCCTCATAAATGAAGCGGGGTTTGGGGAGAGAAGAGGGATAAGCAGCACCATATTTAACCTTTCCTGCTGCTATTCCCTTCTGATCCTGTCCTCCCTGACCCCCAGTACCAGCAGCTCCTGTGCAGAACCCGCACTGCCCTCCTGCCCTGTCTTTGCTCTGAATCTCCTTGTCATTTCCAACTTGCCAGTGGCTCCCCAGCCTTGTTCCCAGCCTGCAGCACTAACAACCCTGGCAATGGCCAGTGTTTTTCCAGATAGAAGTCCTGATATAATTGCCACCAGAAGCCTCTCTGTGCGGGGCAAAGGAGCTCTGGCATAACTGAGGGCAAACCGAATCTATGTGCTTAAATGTCAGCTAGTAAAGATATGCAAGAAGTGTTTTTCATTATCCTCAGTGAGCTCAAAAGGTCAAAACAGCCACAACTAAAGGAATTAACTCGACCAATTTGAATACCAAATATCAGTTTAATTTGTGAATTACAGTCTCACAAATATATTGCACCATTTAAAATTACTGCAGACAAACAGGCAGG